TTCTGACCAACAAGTACAAAAATAACACAGGGAGCTGGCGCTGCCCAAACTGCACCTAGACGTGTCGTGTCACCTAGCTCGGATCCCACGGAGTGGGAGCGCCATATCGGCCACATTAAGAAAGAGCCATTTCAGTTTGACCCTTAGACCACCAGTCGGCCGCTCCACAGAAGCACACAACACTAGGCCGACTGCAAGGTCCAAGCTATCCCGTCAGTTGGCAACCTTCCAAGCCACGGCTTTTAGCGCACCGTGATAGCTTCAAACGTGTCAGATTGTTTTATAGTGAGGAAAGTGCGCTGTGTCGTCGATCTCACTCCCCCTTCCCATTCCCAGGCCCCAGTCACTGTCCGAACCGGTCATTTGACAGGTGCGTGTAATGCGCGCGATGGCTGACATGTCTAATAAATTTGTCAGTGCGCCACGTGCACGTCCTGTCCTCCAACATACAAGTACCAGGCTTTTACACAGTGGTGGTTGGGCGGCGTACATCTGCCATGCGTGCAAAGGCAGTAGGTCAAATTAAGGAGGAGCCGTTTCAGTCTGGCTTTCAGCGTACCAGTATGCCGCTCCACACATACACAATCACACCTGGGCAGACTGCACGGACTGAGTTGGAACGTCAGTCAGCAGCCTTCCAAGTCACAGCATTTGACGCGCTGTGACAGTCTCCGATTCGGATCAAACATGCATTTGAGGGGCCGCATGGAGACGGAGCCGAGACGCATACTTCCCACTTTCCTTGGAGGTAGCAATTAGATGTTTTGATGGGTAATGATATTGTGTGATGCAGGTGGTGGTGTGACGTAGGCGGCGGTTGTCTGCCGCAGGTTTTTGCAAATGCACATGTGGCCTAATAGCTCCATGAGATGAATGAATGTGCAGGTGCTGTGGGGACAGTTGAAGCGGACGCGGCGATTGTATGTGGGAGCTCCAGGCACTGGTTCGCCAGTCTCTGTGCGATGGATCCGCAAGTGACCGACCAGGCCAATGTGTGAGGCGAAGGTGCGATCGCAATAAAGGCAGGTATCGACCGAGTTCGCGCCGCTGGCGTTGACGGTGGGGCGGTTGTTTTTGATGCGTCAGGATTTTGTTCACTGGGGGTGCGTACAGGAGCCGCCGCAGCGGACGCTGAGGCAACGGATGATGATGATGATGATGAGGAGGAGGAGGAGGAGGAGGAGGAGGAGGAGGAGGAGTATGGTGATAATGGTAGTGGGGATGCAGGAGTGCGGTCAGTGTGGACTGTCGACGTGGAGGCAGAGGTCTTCCCAGTCGGCCGGGTTGATTTGCAGACGCTTCAGGGAGGTCTCCATAGTATTCATCCCACGTCGCACTTAATCTCCCTGTCGGCGGTAACCATCTGGGTCATCTCCATAGAAGAGCCATTTGGGTAACCGCTCGTTGTACATGTGAACGAGTTTGCCGCTCCAATGCAGTTTCCGTTTCCTCGGCATGGCATTGATGCTGAGGATTTCCGTCCGTTCCGGTACGCTCGTATCGGGGAACCGGTCCTGCCACTTCAGGTCTAATATGCGTCGGAGACGGCGAAGGTTGAGGTGGTTGAGTCTTCGCGCTTGCTTTTTGTACATCGTCCAGGTCTCAGCTGCATAGAGCAGAGTCGGCAGGATGACCGTTTTGTACATCTTCAGTTTGGTGCTGATGCGGAGACCGTGCCGATCCCAAACTGTGATTCGCAGACGGCCGAAAGCTTGGCTGGCCTTGGAAATCTGACGGGCCACTTCATAGTTGATTTTGGTGTAGCGAGAGACGGGGGCTACACAGATAGGTGAAGTTATGCACGACTTGCAGTTTGACGTAATTCACGTTGATTTGGGGTGCGACGTAGGCAGCGTCGAGTGGCGGTTGATGGTTGACCACCGTCTTCTCCGTGTTGATGACCAAGATGATAGTTTCGTTGAGAGCGAGCGGCAGGTCGAGATAGGCGTTAGTTTCCGCTTGAGGCGGACGGGCAGTGGCGGCGTCGGAGATAGTGGAGGGACGGCTGAGGACGCCTTTGAAGTGCACGATCCATCGCTGTAGAATATGTGTCTTCTCGGTGAGTAAGGTACAGCTGTGGGCGGTGAGAAGAGGCGCGGTACCTTTGGCTGTGGGACCGTTTACGACCTTGGTGGCGTCGAATATGTCCTTCCATCCTTTGCGATCCGCATACCCTTGGACCTCCTTGGCCTTACGACACGTCCAAGCGTCCTGCATCTCCCGCAGCCACTGCTGTAAAAGACGGCGACTACGGTTGTCATCGCTAGGGCGATTGACGCAGGCTGTGTGCCGTCGGTTCTTCTCTGTGAGTAAGTTGTTGACGGTTGCGTTACTGTTGTCGAACACATCCTGCTGTTGGCGACGTGCGTCACCGAGGTCAGTCAGTGAGGTTTACTGCACTGCGTCCCTCAGTTGACACCGTCGGTTCTCTACGGAGTTGTTCTCGTCGTCGGCGATGGCGGCGGCGGCGGCGACTGGAAGGTCGGCTAGACTTTAGGCTAGTTTTTTGGTGAAATGAAGATGGTGGGCAGGCAAAGACAACAAAGCAGCATTCAGCTTACCTGGGATTCGCGTACCTTGAGGTCACCTGCGAGGCTGTAGGCGAATCCTCATTACGAATGTGACTAGGCGATGGCCGGTCCACGTGTAGGCACCCGTGACTGCCTTTGTCACCAGTACGTCCCGCCGGTCTAGCCCACGGGCGAGGACATAGTCCAGCAGGTGCCAGCGTCGCGACCGAGGATGCATCCAGGTGGCCTTCTCTCGCATCGGGGAGGGGGGCGGAAGAATGTGTTGGGCGGTACTTGAAGTCACCAAGGACAATCCACTTATCCGCCTTCGGCACAGACGCCAGGAGGGCGTGTAGGTCCTCATAGGATTTGTTCCTTGCCGCGTCAGGGTTGGTAATCGGGGTAGCGGAGACGCTGATGATGGTGGCGAATTTGCCTCTCTGAAGAGGCAGCGGAGGCTCATCAGGCGATCATTGATTGCGCTCTCGTGGATACGCATATAATCGAAGAGGCCCATGCGGTGAGTGAATGTGCGGGTACAGTGAGGACAGTTGAGGCAGATGCGTCGCATGTATGTTGGTGATCCAGGCACTGGTTCGTCAGTCTCTATGCTGTGGATTCGTAAGTGACCGACCAGGTCGAGGTGATAGGTGAAAGCGCGGTCGCAATAAGGACAGCTGTGGGCCGGATCCACACCGCTGGCGTTGACGGTGGGGAGGTTGGTGTTTTTGTTATGTGCAGTGGTGTACAGGAGCCGCCCTAGTGGACGCTGAGGCAACGAAGGAGGAGGAAGAAGGCGATGCTAGTGCGGGTTCGGGTGTGAGGTCAGTGTTGATGGTCGACGTGGAAAGTAGGACAGAGGTGGGCGAGGTGGCATGGTGTGGTGTCAGTCGGGTGCTGAAGTTGGTGTGAAGATGTCCAATAAAAGCGAAAATGCGGGTCCCATGAAGTAGTTGATACGTAGTATAAGCGATCGCTGGAGCAAGAGCTTTATCCGTCCTACGTTTCGGATTCTCGCTCGAGCCGATCATCAGAGACAGTGACAGATACGCGTCACTGCGTAGCGCGCCAGATGTCGAGCCACTAATGTGGTCTGCCGTTCCGGTCGGTTGCTCCTCGAATTGTCTAAAAGGAAACGACCATTTCGGGCTGCCTGAAAGAGCGGACTCACCCTACCAGACTGTGTGGTGGGACGACGGGGAGGAGGGTTTGGAAGAAAAAGAGTATTGTTTCTTATTTTATTGTTCCGGCTGTGTGTTTTGTGTCTGCGAGCCACGGTCAGTGCACAGATGACCATGTTCCAGCATTTGTTTATCGCACCATTTCTAGCCTCGCCCCCTTCACAGGGGTAAGCAGTGTCGTCCACAAATAGGGCTGCTCAGACATCCCAGACGACTGTCGGACTCCACTATGAGCCACGATTTTCAGTCAGTGGGAGTACGACCCGAGTTAGCCTGGGCCGCCAACGCGATCGCTGTCGATCTCGCCATAGGGCTTTTGAGGGGGAAAGGGCAGGGAAGATGGGGGAAGTGTAGAGAGGCATAACGCAGAGCTTCCTGTCTCTCTCTAGGCTAACTGGTTGCTGAAATATAAACAGTGAGTAGAAGCATTCAGCAGATCGACATTTAGCTTACAACAAGGACAAGCACAGACAAGCAGACAAGGCCA